GCGCACTGCGGCGCCCCCTTTCGGCCGCGCGCGGAGCCGCTCCCGAGCGAGGAGTCAAAATCCAAAGATTCCAACGGAGTTGCCCCAAAACGGGGGCTGACGTCAAGCACCTGAGATCAGGCACACAGAATTACCCCTCCAGGGACTACATTAAGGTAAGTAATAGTACTCATTACCCAAAGGACAGAGGTAAGGCACAAGCGGAGGAAAGCGCACGCTTTTAGCTCTGCAGACGCTTTCTGCCTCTTCGCAGAATGCCCCGAATTCCAAGCCGAGCACCGACACCGATCAGCTGCTTCAGCCCTTTGATGCTCAGTCGCCAATACCTCGTATTTTAAGGGCAGCAAAGCAGCCCTGAGGAACGCGCAGCTGCACGTGGACGACCTGGGAGCTGGCTGGGAAATTAAATACCTTCAATCACCAGCAGAACTCTGGCTTGGCGCCCAGGCGAGCACAGCRTTCAACACACACGGCTGTGCAGCAGCAGCATCTCCTGCCCACGCAGATTGGCCAAACCAGCCTTGCAAGGAACCCTGTGAACATGGATGGCAACGCACCTTACCTGTGAGACCTCCGGGTGCTGCTCTGCCCTGGAAAACAGTGACGTCTTTTCCCTTGATAAGCAAAAAATTGCATATTTCTACTTAAACTCGTTCCAAATGAAAGGTTTGGCTGAAAACAGTAAGAAATGGTTGTTAGGTTTTAATGCAAAACTACTTCCAAGTAAAGAACCACAGCGTGTCTCTTTTTTTATTCTTTTATTTAACAGTTAACAATTAGAAACGTATTGATAAATTACACAGTTCGCCCTCCTGACCAGGCTCCGAGGTGGTTAATCCCATCCTGTTCCTGGAAGGTGGCTCCGAGTGCCGCAGCCGGGCCGCACGTTGTGGGAAAGCAGCCAGGGCAGGGAGCGCTACCTGGCAGCAGGAATTATTCCCTAAACAAAAAAACCCCCCCCACATTTGAGATGGAAAAATATATTGGATATAATTTCAAGGACAACAGGTTACTCTATAGACTTGCAAAGGTTACGAGTGTTGTTGGGGGGAAACCTGGCAGGGCTGCGTGCCAGCCAGGTTGTATTTGCAGGGAGCGCCCACCCTGCCTGGCCCCGGTTCAAGGCCTTTCGTCTTAAGCAATTCCTGTAAAGCCTCTTTCTACAGAGCAGAAAAATAAAACTGGGTCCCGCCTCAGCTGTGCATTTCAACATCTGCTTCACTTTGCACAGTTATGGCCACCAATCCCAGCATTCCACCTGTGCTTCCCATGTCTTGGCTCATTCACTTTCCTGCTCAAAGTTCCCTATGTTTTCAACTCTTTTTGGCATTCAACACCTACTTCAGCCACGTTCCCAAGCACTTTCTTTTAAAAATACAGCAAGCACAGGGCACCTGCTAAACTTCAGTAACAAGCTCCTGCAGAAGAAACCCTGGGGAAAAACAAAATGGWAAAAACACCGGGTGTTTTTATATCAAGCCTAGCTGAACCACACACGGGTGCTACAAAAGCACAGAGACRGCTGTGCTTGGCCTTCCCCAGCCAAGTGCCTCCAAGCCGAGCACTATGGTGGCACCGAGACCACCAAGCTTTTCCAGGTGCTCTGTGCAAGCTGCACACACACGTAGGCTGGCTGCTCCTTGTGGGACGCGATGCAGCTTTAGCAGGCAGGGCTTTAGCGTTAGGCTTAGCCACGGGACAGGAGTTTCACTCACGGTGAATTAGAAGGCCAAATCCAGAGACAAGACTGCAGGTACCTGCTGGTGGGAACTGGCTAAGAGACAAGCAATGGACGGAAAACACCATGAACATATATTGATAAAGAAAAAAAATGGAGGGGCAAACTGGTTTTGTTTTGTCATTATCAAGGAATGTTTTACCAGCTTTCTCCTTGTATCCTTCTACAGATGCGCACCTTTGGCACAAGGAATTCTATGTATCACAAGATTTAATTAATAATAATACTTCATAACAACACCCAGCACTTACATAGCGCTTTTCATAGTCAAAGTGCTTTACGGACAGCTTGTGAGTCCTCACAACACCCCTGTGAGGTAGGTAAGTATTATTATCCCCATTTTACAGATGGGGAAACTGAGGCAGAGAGGTAAAGTGACTTGCCCAAGGCTATATAGGGAGTTGAAACTCATGACATAGTGGCCTGATTTGGCTCTCCCTTAYGGTGGTCTTCCACAGGTGGACTCCCATAAAGCTACCCCATCAGCAGAATGATCAAAACCAGGTTTCTCTGGCTCCCAGTCTTCTGCTCGGATCAAGTGGCGGTACCTGCTCCACCTCAAACACCAGGCCCACCTTCAGAATCGCCACAGGAAATTCACAGCACAGCCGGAGCGAATCCGCAAGCTTAAGGCAAGGTGGACATGAACAGTTCCACAGCTCCGTGTCAAGCTGGGCTACCCGCAGATGCATCACCTGCCACGCYGTGGGAGTCCAAACCCAACCGCTCAAATGGTCTCCCAGCTGTGCCCATATCAGCCATAGGGCTGATTCTCTTCTCTTTCGAGTCAGAGTAAATCCAGAGCAAATCAATGGGACTGCATCAGCGCAAGACTAGTGTCTGAGCCAGACCTTTTACCTGCTGCTTTGTAGGCAAACGCCCCTACTAACATCTGTTCATCCTGGACAGCTTCGGCGTGGTTCATTCCACCCACTCGCTTTCACTCCCTCTCTCTCTCTCTCTCTCTCTCTCTCTGAGTTTTTCTCTCAAATAAACAAACTTTCAATATTTCCAACTCCTTAGTCACCAGCACCAGCATTTAAACAGCACCAAACATCTTTCTAAGACTGATCAATATTTTCCAAAAGTGTCAATGCATGCAAATATCAAACGTACAAAAACAAGAGCGCTGGGACATGATACCAAGGATAGAGGTGATTACAAGACAGCACACATTGTATATTAAAAATATCAAACAACTCACTCATACTGTAACTATGYCACTTACATGATCATTCTCTAACCTGCAGAAATACAGGTACTTACTCCTCCAACTATCTACCTATCTACTGATAAAGAAACAAAAATATCAACCATACACMTTTATATCTCCTCAAACTTAGCAGGCACTGTTCATGTGAATGGCAGAGTTTGGTGGGTGGCAGGGAGCATACATACCTGTTTTAGGACATTGGGATATGAGAGAAGTAGAAAAATTATGTGCATGATTACCAAATAAGCATCAAAGCGATGGCAGTAAACCCCCCAATTAGATGGATTCACATATGACATCCACTAACAAACCCAAAACACACTGAAGCTGGCAAACAGCCTGTGCCACTTCACCTGTGTCCAACCACAGCATCATCAAGTAAGACCAAACAAACCTCAAAAAAAAAAGAATAAACCAGCCTAGAGTCAACAATCTTCCATAAACCCACTTCCCAGCATTATTTTCAAATACATTTTACTCTTAAACAATTTCAGAAAGGACTGGGTGAGAAAGATACCCACTACTATTTTTTAACTGGCTCAGCACCAGCTCAGAGAGAGGGAGAGGAAAAATAATTCTTCAAACGTGATCCTTGGTACTCAGTTAAAACGTGGCTAGCCAGCCGACAAACCCCTAAATCGCCGGAGGGTTCGAAGTGGAGTGGATACCCRGTGCTGCTCGCGTTCCTCTTCGTTTGCTATGATATCTGCTCCGTGGGCCTCATCTGAATATCTCCAATCTAGAAGAGATCAACGTACGATTTTACTGGAGCACTGAAGCACATTTTAAATCCTAAACCAGCCACTTAAATGTTGCACCATTACAGTAGTGAGTTGCACACAAAGAGAGCTCCTGTGACTAAACACGAGACCCTTAAACGGAGCCATTAGACATGAAGGTAAGTGTGACTGTTTGCCTTTAGCAGCAGGGATACAAGCATGAATACGTGCAGAGAAAAAAAAGAGAGTGCAAGACGGCACTGGTTAGAAGCTCTCGGGTTCAAGGCTTACTTTTGCACTGGCTCACAGGGTCRAGCAGAAACATTGCTCGTGTTTGTTCAAATTGGCCTACAGCAGCATTTTTTACCACCCTTCTTTTAAGGCAAGAAGCCAGCTACAGTCAGGGCCAGGACACCGTCCAAACGGGTGACAGGTGCCCACGTCCCCTCCATTCCTGCTACAGTGCATAGTCCTCATCCACAGGACCATGGGCAGCCCCAGCAGCTCTGTCCCAAGGCTTCTTTTAAGAGCAGTTCAACAAACGTGATCACAGCTAATCTCCCTGCCTGGCCCTGCTAAGCACACAGCTCACAGAGCAGCTGCAGAGCTGCTCAGCAAGCCCAAGAGCAGCAGTTACCTCCTCCTCCAGGGTCCCCAGAGCCCCCTCTCCCACGGCAGCTCACCTGTACGTGAGGTGGGGCACTGAGCACGTATATGACAGCATTAGCCATATCTTCAGCCTTGAGACACTGCAAAGATAGGACAGAGATTGTCTCAGTCAAAGGCCACCTCAGGAAATATTAATCACAAGACGACTCCTTTCCTAACCATTAATAACAAGTTTTGACAGTCTCACTGGGGCATTTCAAGAAAAGATRGAAGTGATTAACACATTAAAAAAATAACAGAAGTTATGCCTGGTAATGTTATTCTGCATGTGCTGTTAATATTACTGTAAATGCTTTGAGGTGCCTCCTGAAACTAAGATCCCCTGGTGCTGGGCAGCAGAAATAGAGAGATGGAGGTAGTAGTCCAGCTCCTGAGCTTGCAGTATATATTAGAATAGACAAAAGAAGGAAGACAGAGGCACAGTGGAAAGCAGCAAGGCTTGCCAAACACATCAGGGAAAAGCAGGGAACAAAACTCAGGTCTCCTGTCCTAAATCCAACATCCTCTCTGTGCAAGAGCAGTGTTGAGCATGATGGGCTTCCTRGGAGTAGAGATCACTCCTCCAAGGCACAGCTAGGAAGCACTTTTGGCTATTTCTCAGGCAGCAGAGCTATCACAGTTAAATGCAGAAAAGCAGCCAGAGAACAGGGTCACCAAAAGGATGGGGACAGAAGCAGAGCTGTTTTGGTCCCAACCTGGCTAGGTAGGTTGGAAACCATCAGCACAGCCATTCAGTCAGGTCCTGCATTGCCATCCTTACCCAATGGCACCAGGCAAGCACGGGAAACCCCACGCTGGCCACTTGCAAGGCAACCTCCTCTCGGCTACACCCTTGTGTAGCTATGACTGCCTCTTATGTCTTCCCTTCAATAAGAGAGAAGCCATAGCCTGCAAAATGGCAAAGCTGACTGGTTTATTTACAGGAAGATCTAGATATAGGGAAATATAGAGAGAGTAGGRTTACAAATCTACATAGTATGCAAATATCAGTGCAAAATCTGAGGTTTGAGCCTATGAGTCCAGTTCTGCTGACATGCTGAGACTTTGCGAGGACGCTGACTATATTCTAGAAAGCACTTGGTGCTCTGCAGAACTGGCTCCTTGCATAATGAACCAGGAGAGTGATTATTTCACTGTGATCGGAGCCATTTCCCTCCATTTCCATTTCCCCACGTCCTACCCGAATGCTCTCATAGGTGGCAGCAGCTCTCTCTGGATCATTATCATGAAGTTTAAAAGCAAATCCTGTTTCCACCAGTCCTGGAGATATGCACTGGAAAAAAGCAGAGCACATCCTAATAGGATTTGTAATTCCCCTTCAGGAAAGCAATTAAAAAAATAAATAAGAGGAAGCTTCTTAGCACTGCAAAAGTCAGCAGACCACCCCTTGTACTACTAGGGTAGTACACAGACATTTTGACAAAGGGAATAATTTAAGAGGTCAGATTCTGCCTTCATGATCACTGTGAGGGTCTCCCTGGACAGTCCCTGATGAACTTTCCTATTTGTGCCACAGAGGGATAGATAAGCAGAGCAAATGACAGAAAAGCTCATGCTGTGGCTTAACTGCTGGACGTGTCACTTCTGAGATTCAGGGTTTGCACAAGAGGAAACAGTCCCAGGTGACTGCTCCCCACTGCAGCCGAGAGTCCCCCTCACTCCCCAAAACATGACTCCCACTTCACACACCCCAAAAAGGTTATTCTGACACTGCCGGTTGCTGCTCCCTTGACCATTTTCCACAGGAAAACCTCTGCCCGGTGAAGCTGGCCAGCTTTCTACACCCCACAAAAGCAGCAGGGAGGAGCAAACCCCACAGTACTCACTGTAGCTCGTATATGAGTCTTGGCTTCTCTGAGCTCTTGCCTCAGCCCCTCCGTGAGCGCTGTAACCGCGTACTTGGTGGCACTGTAAAAATGCACCACGGACTGTGGCACGACACTGTGGCCATTCATGCTGAGGAGAGAGAGCAGAAAGGAAAGCGCTGAGAGGAGGGGGGCAAGCAAAGTCTGAGGGAAGAACCAGCAAAATATGAAAAATGTTTAATTATTGCCAGAGAGAGAAAAAGAGGCTGAGATGAACAGCTGCATGAGGAACTCCCTTCTCCCAAACCACTCCATGGGCTACGGGATGCTCTGTTGGGGCTGAGCTCCAAGGAGAGCAGGTTTAGCTGCCAGGGAACTGGCAACAGGGAAGTGCAGCAGCTCCTCATTGCATTTGCACCAGCAGAGGAGAGAAAGAGCGAGCTTTGAAAATCAGGACCATCACAAACCTTGAAAAAGTCCTCTCTGGACCAGGCCACTCTGAAAGGTCAAATGAGAATTCCCCTCGGGGCAGGCAGTCTGCGGGGCTGATTCCACATACCTGTTAATGTTAATAATGTGCCCATCGTCGATGTTTCTCTCCTTCATGGACTGATAGGCCTCCCGGGTGCAGATGCTTACAGCCATCACGTTGACCTGAGGAAGAGGAGGGAGGAGACTGGCACCAGCTGCGCTCTGCCCAGCACCTTTTCCCTCGCCCTCGGTGCTCCGCAAGGTGCAGATCCAGCTCCTGTAATTGGTGCTGCTTTGACCAGCCGGATTCCCCATGTTCCCTGGGAGCAAAGGGAGCTGGATGCGTGTTCTCAGCACGGCGAGAACAGCAGCCCCGGGGCTCCCATTCTGTGAGACAGGCCACAGCCCCTGCCTCCAACACGCAGATTTGAGGGGTTTGCAGGGGAGCACGAGGGCTGAGTGCAGGGCAAGGGGGAACAAACCTGCCCTGCCACGGTCAGCGCTCTGGTTCTGCACAACCCGGGGCACTCCGGAGTCTGGCAGGGATGGGCTGCTGCAGCCCCTGGTCCCTGCGCACAGGACGCAGGGCTCTCCTGGTTCCTGCTATTTGCACCAGCACTGGGGTCAGTTAAGCTTGGCCGTGTTGCCCCGCAGCACTACGGCTTTAGCAAGTTAATGTCCCAAACGTTTGCCAGCCATAAAACAGAGTCAAAGTCTCCAGGAAGACCGAGGTGCAGAAATTCCCCTGGCGGCACTAACCCCGACGGGCTGTGCGAGTCTGCGCTTTGCAAGCCACCTCAGCAGCAGCATTAACTCCCCACCTTCATAACACTGTATTTTTTAAAAAGGGCTAAAAGATAGAAATTATTTGCTACGGTTCTCTAGAAGGGATGCAATAGCTGCAAGGCAGGACTCGCTGGCAGGTCTCAACTAAAGGTAATTCCTTTTGTTACCAATACCAGCAGGCCAGATGAGACTAGAAACGCTGCTGTGGTCTAAATAACCATCAAGAACTATATTTCTTATGAACCAGAATTCAGCTGGAAGTAGATATGGAAGGAGCACTGGGAACAAGACTATACGGACAGCAAATACAGGGATGCAGGAGAGGGCTGCCAATCATGTCTGTGATTCTGTGAATGAGACAGAAAGGTCACAGAACCGCAGTGGAGGAGCATTCATTTGAAGAATAGAAATTAAAATTCTGTTAGAGATGGACTTACTGAGCRGCCCTCAAAGGACGAGTGGGGTCAGGTGAGGAACGTTCCAGCCCTTGCTTCTGTCGTGGGCATTAAGCTTTGCTCTTCACCACAGGCCATGCCTGGGGGGTTGTCTTAGCGAGAGGGGCTGCTGATCTGGCCTCGTGCTAACACAGAGCACCCCAGCCACACGTCAGACACGGATTTCACAGCAAGCAGGTCAAGGAAAGCAGGAGTAACCATCACAGCCCAAGTAACAGCCAAGCAAGGAGTCCTTTCAGACACGGATCTCAGCTGCTGTTAGCACTAAGGGTGGCCTCGACCAGGAACTCTCCTTGCCTCCCTGCTCCACAAGCGCTGGAGCTGCTGTTTCGGGGCAGCCGCTCCAGGCTCTGCGGCTCTCAGGCCACTAGAGGGGGACACGAGGCCGAAGCGAGAGCCGGGCTCAGCTCCCAGGCTGGGCAGGTTGGTGCACGTTGAGCGACCACCTTGTCACAGCTTCTGGCACAGCGAGGTACCATCGACAACCGCGTGCACAAGCCCAAAGCCTGCACGGTAACCCAGCCCGGCACAACAAACCCACCAGCTGGAATTCAATCCGGCTGGGATCAAGTCTCAGTCCTTTCCTGATAGCACCCGCAGGATTTGGGGACCCTGATCCACTTCAAAATATGACTCAGGCTTCGTAACAGTCTAAAAAATGGAACATGAGCAAGTCTTTGGGTGACAGCACTTCTAGAAACAATCTAAAGGTCGTTCTTGCAAATCTCCAAGATGTTTTGCAGCACTTGCTTCTATTTTGAGAACAAAAGGTTCAAAGGTCCCTTAGCAAAGATGGCCAACACATCCACGTGCTGCGTTTGCAGAGCACGTTGCACAACACAGGTCTGCAACTGCATACGGGTGCAGCAGGAATGAGTCCCGCTTTTGAGCAACTTTTATTAGCCACTTTGGGAAACCAAAGGAACCTGTTTGTTGAAGGCGTTTCTCTTGCCTAAACCAGGCTTTCTCAAGGCACCGTGAGGAAACTCTAACTTCCAAGAATGCATTAGAAGCCAGGTTAAAAAAAAAAAAAAAAAAAATTCTTCTTGCTTTTAGACATCATATGTGCAAAAAGCCTCACTGGCCAATGAATAACATGGAGAAGACTCAAAGCCAGTTACTCTAGCAGCTGGAGAGGCTGAGTGCCAGCCCCCTGCACGTGGAATGGAGCAAATGGAGAGTTCAGCYGGAATTCCTGCTGTAAAGGTCAGCAGGCAAAACGTGAAGGAGCTGCTCCCATGCCAAGGGCGAGGGCAGCGTGTACGGCGCGCGCGGCGGCTCCCGCGGCGGCTGGAGCTGCCCGGAGGACTTTGCTCCAGGCGCACACGGAGCACGGCCTCGAGCACAGGCGAGAGAAACCAGGGACGTGCCAGCTGGCAGCCCTGCGCCTGGCATGCTCGGGACGCGGCGGAGATGCCAGTCTGAAGCTGCTGAGACTGCAGCAGCCCAGGGAGGAAAACTGCCTATGGATTCTCCCTTGGGAAGAGAAAGGTCAGATGATAAGGATAAAARATAAGAAGTGCTTTAATAAGTAAATGTTAACACTGCTCTGACTGGAAGGTGTACAGCAAGAGGTTTTGTGGAGAGGAGAGTCTGGAAGATGACAGACAGCCTCAAACCTCATAAAAAATGAATGAAACAAAAATCAATTTACCAAAAAGAAAAAAAGAATCCYTTAATTTAGAGCCCTAAATGTCTTCTAAATCAATAGATCAATGGCTATTTAGAAGCTTCCCCTGTCTTGCAGCCCAGCAGCACACTGAGCTGCATCCCAAAGCAAAGGGTGCAGCTCCRGCGGCGAACACTGCGCTCCATAGTCCTTAAAGCCTCCATGGCAACCTATGGAGTCTCTTTTCCTTTTAAAAAGTCATTGAGTCAAATGAAAAACGCTACTGAAAGTGACACACATTGTCATACCCTAAGGTTAAGGCTTGTGGCTCAGCAGTGCTGAGCAGTGCAGCAGGAAGCCAATGGGAAGGCTCTCCCTGATCCAAACATTTCCAGCATTCAGATCGGTAAAAGAAAGAAAAAAAAAGAAAAGAAAAAAAAAAGAAAAATTGTGAAGAATGTTTTCCCATTCCAGGTAACTATAATTCCAGGGACTCAAACACGTGGCCACCGTGGAGCGCTTGGCCACCGGAGCGGCGCTACTCACGTCTATCATGGTCCGCCAGCCCTCCGTCCTGCCCGAGAGCAGGGGCTCGGGCCGCGCCAGCCCCGCGTTGTTGATGCACACGTCGACGCCCTGGTGAAGGGTCTTGATAGCGGAGAACATGGACAGGATCTCCTCTTCGTTGGAGAGGTCGCACTTGTAGGGGATGAGGGTCCCGGTGTAGCCAGCGCTCTGGCATTCGGCTGCCAATTTCTGGGGGAGAGAAAGGCAGGCAAGGACCGTGAGCACCCTATTGCTATCCCTGCGTATGCACTTACAACGCATGTATACAGTGAGTGCTTCAGTGTTTAAGTTATTCAGTGTTTAAGTTATTAAACTTAAGGATGTGTTTGTCCATCGCCCCAAGCGCTACCGGTCGGGGTGAGCAGGTGTTGGCAAAACACTAATGAAAACCCCCGTGGCCGCAGGCTGGGGGAGGCTGGTGGAGGCTGACGCAGGCGGGGAGTCTCCCACGCCGCCGCGCGGATAGAGGACACGGCAACCCCACGCTCTGCAACCCCTCATTACCGACAATTATTCCAAGCGTCCAGGTCTCCCATCCGGCTAAACGCCACAAAGCAAACGCGGGGCCGAGCGCGGCAACGACGCAGCGGCCGCCGCACGCGCGCCCCRCAGGACGCCCGTTCCCCTGACGCTAATGAGACCCAGCAGCGTCTCGCCTGCGAGTGTCACCCCAGTGACAGCGACAGCTTCCAGCGCGGAGCCCGAGCCACGTGATGTCTGGTTTCTGCGGACACGGACTGTGGCTACAAAGGCGCGCCGAGTCGCCGCAGTGCCACCGCCTGCAGCCGCTTCAGCAGCGTGACAACAGCGTGACAACAGCGTGACAACAGTGACAACCGCACGTCCTGCCGTGGAGCTTCCCGGCTCCTCACGGCTCTGCTCCGCGTGCCCGGGGCGGCTGCGATTCGCAAACGGAGGAGCAGGGCCCGGGCGGGAGACCCTCGGCGAGGAGGAGGAACGCGGGGCGGCCGCTGCAGCGGGGGAGACGGCTCCTTCGCGTGCTGGGAGCCCCCCGTGTCACCTCCCCGGCTGGCCTGGCCGTCCTGGTGGCCGGTGCCACGCAGAGCCAGGCATGCGTTTCGGAGGAGGATGCTGAACCAGCCCTGTTGTCTGCACCACCACACTGCCTGGGACGTGCCTTGCTCCCGCGGGAAGGACAACGTCTGTCTCCTGGGCAAAGCCACCGAGCCCGGAGATTCCCGTCCCCTCCGCTCAGCTGTCACAGAGGCAGACGCTGTCACTTGTCCCTGCAAAGACCCAGTGCTCACGACCTTGCAGAGCTCTCCAGCCAGATGAACACTCAAGCTCTGAAACGAACATTAGACCTAGGGGGAAAACAAGGCGAGCATGGGACACGCAAGGGACAGCAAAGGCCAGAGCGAGCACGGCCCCTGCTCAGCCCCTGCAATGCTGCGGCGCTCCCCGAAGCTCCACGTCCGTGTCCCCGTCAGGACCCTGCGCTGCTCCTCACGCAGCCCTTCCTGCAGCCGGGCAGGCGGCCAGTGCCAGCTTCAGAGCTCTCTGCATCTTGCTGCCCCAACTCCAGCCCTCCACAAAGGCACTCACCCCAATCAGGCCTGCTTAGCACTAACACAAAAGCGTTCAAATCAGCGATTCTTGCTCCTAGTTTGCAGAACAAGGCAAGAGAGGGCTCTTAGTCTGCTCCTGGGACAGGACTGGTGTCCTGTCACAGACCACGGCCAGCGACCGGGCTGAAGCAGCTCGTGGTGGAGCTGCCCATCCTGTTCTCCCAGGAACCCCCTTAGCTCATGGCTTAGATAACCCCAAAGAAGCAGCTCCTCCTCACGACTGGCCGATCAGCCCACAAATATCTCCCCAGATCCTTCTTTTCCTGTCTGGTTTCTCGCTGCCTCAAACAGGAATCAACGTGGGTCCTTTCATTTCTCGGGCTCCGCTTGTGTTAACAAATTCTCTTTGAAAACGACGTGCCGAGCGCTGCTGACAGCCACGCTGAGCCCAACRCGCTTCACGCGTCCCTGGAAGAGAGAGGCATCACAGGCTCTTCAAAGAGATGTCAACTGCGGGCAACTTGGCAAGAGAAGCCTTACATAAAGCAACTCCACAATAGACTTGCAGTATTTTTCCACAGCATCAATTAAACTACCCAATTAACACTGATTCTGTTTAAGCATGCCACACACGAGCTGGGGGAGGACGATGAGGGAAGGTGTTTTCCAGGCTTCACAGGCAACCTGGGAATGACCGAACACGCAGCACAGGATGTTAAAGGTGTTCCAAGGATGTGTCAYGTTTAAGGGATGTTTGCTCGTGCTAAGGATAAGCCAGTAATCCTAAGAAAGGGTTAATGCTCTTTCTGCACACGACATTTGTAAAGGGCACAGTGGCACGCATCTCGACTCAGCCATGGCGAAAAGGCTTTACAAAACTAAGTGATATAAACATCTAAGGGCACTCTTAAAGGGATGGAATAAAAGAGAGGAAGAGTCACATAGGGCATTATTTGGCGAACTATCCTATTAAGCTCAGATGCATTTAGTTCAAAGAGATTAAAGCCAGCAGAAACCATCAGGTAATCTTTAATCTGACCTCACATCCAGCACAGGTACCTGCATCCTACCGATTTAGCTGGTGCTTAAGCACATGGCTGCCTTGAGAGGCCAGCTAGAAAGAAACTGAGGCCACCCCAATTATTTTAGCTAGCTGAAGGAAATGGAGAAGGAAACAAATAAGAAATGGCATCAACGGTGAAAGAAAACGGGGGCCTTATGATTCCTTTCATTTTCCTGATTGGCAAGTTGGAAACTGCTTTTAATTAGGATTTAATATCAGCAAAACAGAAGAGGAGATGCAGAACAGATGAAGACTCTGGCCCTTTCCGCAGCATGTTTGGTGGCCACGGATGAGAAGCCAGAGCTCCACGGAGCCCCTTGCCGAGGCACCCGCGCCCCGGGGCTTTTTGCCTGCACAGGAACATGGGGGCTGCTACTTCATATTTTTTCTAGTTCCTTTTATCTCATTCCAGGCCCCAGACAAGGCCTCCACAGGAGTCTGATGAGAGCTTTCAAATGAATAAAACACTACAGTGACCCTTTCCTGCACCCTCGAGCTTTAAATCAAGGTTTTTACGCATTGTTTGCAAACTGCTGCTGCTCCGGTCATCATCACGTGTTGCAAAACTCCAGGAGAGCAGTGGGTAACACAGGGAACAACTTGGAAAGGCAGCTTTAAATGGAAAAGCAAACACGTCGTGGGGCACCAGCACCCAGGGCAGGGCACGAAGGCTCAGCCCTGCTTTTGGATCGTCCAAACTGCAGGACAGACTGTCTCATGATGGAGACTGAATTTATTGGAGAAAGCAGAAGCTGCGGCGCTTCCCTCCTGGAGCTGGCAATGGAAAGGCCATCAGAAGCGGGACAAGACTGAAGCCCTTGTTCAACCTGCGTCCTCCTAAATGTACTGCACAAAGACTCACTGGTGGCACGGAAATCAGCACTCAATAATACATGATGTTTTGTGAAAGAGGAGGCCAAAAAATGTGAGGAATGCCTTGGATTTACTTGCTGTCTATTAACTCCCAGACATCACAGCCTCTCAGAGATGCTCACGACAACATGGCTCTGTGTTTCCTAGATATTCCCAAGTTTTCTTGGCACGATCACCAAGGTTTAGGCCAACAGCTACCATCACACCGGATGCACCATCCAAGTTCCCACACTCTTTTCCCAAGCCAGAACAATTTTGAAACCAGAATAATTTTGAATCAAAGCCTGCTRGAAGGACAGAGCCAGTTCCCTCTCTCTTCCCACCAAGCACCACCTCATGTCCATGGGTCAATCATTAAGCCAACCTGGTTGAGCAACCACGTCTTCCTAGCGCTGCTAAGTGTCCTCCTTGGCGGCTGAAGATCACGCTGATTTTGTGGGTTTTTTTCCCCCCAGGCCCTCTCTGCTGCCTGTACTTTTCAGCAGTTAAACATTCAAACCATCTTTTTCTATTTCACTTAACTTTAGATTCCTGGTTTCGCACATGCAAGTCAAATCATTGCATTTAGACTGCCCTGGATGCCTCTGCTACCTCAAGGCTCTCAAACAATTGYTCCTTACGTCAACACTGAAGGCATTTTTTTCCTCCCTTTTCTTTTCCAGGCTCGCTCAGATCTCGTTGCACCCGGCTGCAGTGGGGGAGGAGGAAACGCGCGGCTCCCGTTGTGACAGCTCGTTACAGCAATATTCCCTGTTTATTCTGAGGTGCAATTACACCAAAACGAGCCTGCTATGTACCTGCCCGCTCCTCAGCTCCAATGCACGATGYGGATTTGCACATAGGGGCACGGAGATGTCTTCTCTTCTCGAGAGGCACCAACACCCTCCTGGGACTGAACAAACGCATCCTGCCCGGCACGCCGGCGCAGCCACCGCGCCTGGTGCTTCTCCCAATTCAATCAAGCTCTGTCTAGTCTCACAGCAGGCAGCAGGGCAGGTCTGAGGTGCACAGCAGTATCTTGGCTTGCTTGGCGTGGAAACCGCTGCTGCACCCACCTGCATAAGCCAGGCGGGAGCTGCACAGCTCAGACTGGTGCACGGAGGGGCAACGGGAAAATATAAAGAATGGGAAAATGGGGATGCAACAGACCAGCAGTCTGCATAAGGTTTCCATAACAAAACGTGCTGTGCTTGGGGCTATTCTCCCAGGAAAGCGCTGGAAATAGCATCTTTTGAGGCATCTCGGTGCTGAAGAGCCTCACGCGTGGCGCTCTGTAAGGACAGCAGCTACAAAGCAGTGCTGAGGCTCTGGAAACGCGAGGAAGTGAAGGGGAAAGGAGGCCCACCTGGCGCACGGGCGCTTTCGAGGAAGCAGACTCGTGGCCCTGGCGAGCAGCACAACCTCCCCGAGCTCAGCCCAAACCTCCCCTCGCTGCACCGAAAGGCACCTGTCCGCATGGCTGACAGGCTGGAAAACACCCCAACGCTGACATGGAGAGGGCTGTAGCACAACCGGGCCATGAGATCAACCCTTTCCCCTTTCCCCAGCCCACGGCGCAGCAGCACTTTTCCCCCCGGCTTTCACGTTCGCACGCACACAGAGCTCCATGTCTTCCCACACTCGCGCCAGTGTCATTCACGTTGCAGCAAACGTTTCTGCTGGGAGGGCAGGGAAGGAGCTGCAGCCCTCGCACATCTATCTCTGTCTCATCGTCTCCTGTTCTG